GTCAAATACAGTTTTCACATCCCCTGGGCACTTGTGTTCTTTTTATGAACATATTTTCTACTTGACATTCTCATGTTTCTTAGTAAAAAAAAAAAGTAAATAAAGCAATTCTTTCACTGAATTTATCAATGGCCACATGTTAATATCTCAGTTTTTAATTGACATAGTTATGCCTTCAACCATGTACAAGACACGAGTTATCAAGTAATTAGAGGGCATTTTTTGTGGGTTCGGTTCAATTGGACATTTATTGAGTGTGCGTGTTGTGCAAGGCGCTTGGCGAGGTTCAGAGGAACAGAGTGGAAATGTGGGTGTTCGGTCATAGCCAACTCTGAAGATCCCCATTAGCCTTGTTGGAAGAGGAAAAACAGAGAATTGGAATACAACTTTCTCCTCATATATTCTAAATGTATGTCCATTTTGCACTCATGGTCTAGTAAAATACACATCATCTAGCCTAGCAGCCTGGGACTGCAGTTCTCCAATCTCTGATTTCTATTGAGATTATGCAGTTTATCCACAGTCTGCCCTGGCATGGACCAGCCGTGTTTTCTCAGCCTGGGAGGCTGTAACTCTTGTCTCTTTCTCTCCCATTCCAGTTGTGTTCTCTAACATCAAAGAAGAGATTTGGCTTTCTGGGGACAATTTCAAGGCACTGAAGTACAAAGAGGAGCTATTTCTAGACAAATAAAATATGACAAAAAGCAATGGAGAAGAGCCCAGGATGGGAGGCAGGATGGAGAGATTCCAGCAAGGAGTCCGCAAGCGCACACTTTTGGCCAAGAAGAAAGTGCAGAACATCACTAAGGAGGATGTGAAAAGTTACTTGTTTCGGAATGCTTTTGTGCTGCTCACTGTCACCGCCGTCATTGTGGGTGAGTCATTTGACCCAAAACAGAAACATAAAAACCTGTATCTTGTTTCTGCAGAACATTTGAATGGCTGGGATCATTATCAGATAGACTGACTGTAGGTATTCAAAATGATAGCTCAGACTCTTCTGTGCATTTGCAGATTTCATTTTTTCCTAGAAAAATTAGTTTGTTGGCATGTTGGGAACCACATGTGCTAAACCCATGAGAATCTCAAAGAACCATCAGTAGGAATTGTGCACATTCATGACTGTGTGAAAAAGAGAAATCAATGTTCTCCTAAGTGATGTGAGGATAAAGGAGCGATAATTGAATCGTTAGGCATGAGTAGTTAAATAATAACAAAAAACGAGTAAGCAGGATAGACTCGGCCAAATGTAATTATTATACAATGTCACTTTTACTTAAGACTAATTTATACAATTAGTGTTCCCAAGAGGAAATGCAGGTCCCTAATAGTAATTGTATCCTAACTAGTGCTGACTTGAAGCTGAGTAGTAATGCTTAAACATGGAGGTCAGATCGTTCCTGTTTGCACTCTCCCATTCAGCGACTGTGAAGGTAAATTGGGGAAATGTTAACACAGATCTCTTTCATATATTGCCTCACACAGCCTGCCATAGACAGTTACATCATTTTTTAAATATTTCAGTCTCTTACTAATTTAGCATGGTTGACAGCAATCTTTATTAATAAAACATTGGTTTGTTTGGTTTTTAGCTATTTGAAGTTTTAGTTTATTACTTATAGGTGACACAGATCTTAATTTAAAATACATACTGAAGAAAAAAAAAAAAAAAAAAAACCTAAGCATCTGGAATATTTGACCAAACCAGCACAAGACATCCTTAGGCTGGAAACATATAAACCAATTGCAGGTCTTAAAAATATTCTAACTTGGGGCTAGAGAGATTGGCTCAGCGGTTAAGAGCACTAAGTATTCTTGCAGAGGACCCAGGTTCGATTCCCAGCACTCACATGGTGGCTACGAACCGTCCTTAACTCCAGTTCCAGGGGAATCTGAAGCTCTCTTCTGACCTCCATGGCATTGCACAACACAGGTGTACACACATACATGCAGGCAATATACTCATTCACATAAAATAAAAATAATAAATAATTTTAAAAGCCAATATGCTTGTTGCATTTATTTTCTATAATGAGCAAGTTACTTGAC